TTTTTTATGATGATTTCAAATTCAGCGAGTTCCATGAGGAAACCACAAATAATCCAAAGATATTTCAAATTGGATAATGTCACGAGATGTTCGTTATCAGTGCCCGATCCGATCAAGTTTTTACAAGTTAAATGACGAAGTTGAGGTGTGTGGCGAAGAATAGAAAATAGTTGCCGAGTGGTGCAGTTATGACTAATATTTAGATATTCAATAGTGCTGAACTGCTCATTAGAAGCAAAAGGTAAGGAGATGTTTAACTCTTCCTCCATATCATCGGAGTCAAATACTACTCTATTGTATTTCAATGCAGGTAATGAAAAAATCATTCGATAAATGTTTCCAAGATTACAAGCACATTTATTATCTAAATATGTGATTAATGAGAAGAGTCGAGGTAAAGATTTCAAGTAGAAGAGTAACATCAGAAATTGATAGCGTGTAGGCTCGTTGAACTTAATCGATTCAAGACGATGAAATGATGAATCAATCATACAATGTGCCAAAAAAGTATCGATGATTAGTTTATCGTGAAAATAAAGCGAGAAAATATGGTGTTTGTTTGGAATAAAAAAATTCTTACAGTAATGTTCCATTTCTGATGATGACAAAGAACCAAGCGTGATCTTGAGTGGAAGTGGTGAGTGAACGAGCAGATATTGGAAACGAGAATTCAGGTTGGAAAATACGTTATAAGGATCACAACCGTTGAGATATTCAAAAATCTCATAAAAAACTTCATTGGACAAATCTTCGATACATGTGATTGGATTGCTAAAGAAAATTCCAATCAATAGAGTATGATGAAAAATAGTTTTTTATGACTTACTTTTCTTTATTCAATGTTGCTGAAAAAAGACACTGAATAATTAATCATAAACGTAAATCAGGCGAAACTTACTCCGTATTTTTTTCCTTTCCATGTCTGAAAACTCACTCAATTGCGATGATCGTTTGTTTTGATACATGCCACCAAATAAAATACACTGTGCTTCACTTGACTTATACTTATATATACGTCGGAATGTGTTCTTTTTGCTTTTTTTATTCCCTTGACTTTAGTCTAGGGTCTTACAAAATGTGGTTGTCTGTGCGCAAAATACGGAAAAATGGCTCTCGGATATTCTATGGATAAGCGAATCACGAGAGAGAAAAGTGCAAAATTATTTTTTACACAACAGAGAAAAGAATATTCAAAGAGAAAAAAAATATTCAAAGAGTTGACTGAAAAAGTAATTACTGATGCCGAGAGAAAAAAACTAAGCAAACATTTCTGTAGTTGTAGGATAGACGTCGCCAGAAATCAGTCTGTTTTGATAACACAGTAAAAGTCATCCACAGATAATTAAACTTACAGAATACAGATGATCTACCATGACGAATTGATTAGAAATACTTGTAGCCTCCCTTCGGATCTTCAGCGGGTATTCAGAAAATGTTTTAGCTTTATATTACATTGTGCCCTTTTTCTGTGGAATCACATAACTTCACAACATTTCTCAGTTATGCAGGGTTAATATACACTAGGACTAAATGCTAGGAGTGAGGTTAATGCTAGCTTACCGTCTTTTTTGATTGGTTTGTCCTATTTGAGCGAGAACGTAGGAGACAGAAACCTGTTTCACCAAAAAACTTAAGTCTGGTTTAAGTCAAAAAAGACAAAGAACTTTTTGGACTTAAGTTTGACTTAAGTTTTTTGATAAAACTGGCTTCAGAAGGGTGTTTCACAGAAATTCTTAAGTCATCGACTCAAGTCTACTCTTAAGTCCAGGTCTTATCTTAATTTAAGAGAAACTTAAGTTGACCAACTTAAAGTGTTGCACAACTTCTTGCTTAAGTTTGACTTAAAGTTAAGTGCACAAGTTAGTAGCACGGTCTTAAGTTAAGTCCATTAACTGGTGCACAAATGCATTGCAATCTACTGTATGTTTTTCCCAAAAGAATAGAGTTCGTGATAGTTTGGTTGTGGCATGCGCGTATGAAAAATGAAAAATATGATATGAGAAAAAAGATTAAAAAAACAAACAAATCGCAATGACTCATTTATAATATCAATCAGATATCCACAGATAAATTGTATCTCAATAACCTGCGACTAAATGGCGCCTGAGTCAGGCGCTTCTTGTCAGGAATATATGAAAAATTCCTAAGCCAAAAGTCTTCTTCCACTTTTGCATCCTTTGGTGCCCGATCCTGAGCGAATTTGGGAAAAAGGACGCTCAATAGTCATGATCTTAAGTACCTGGAGAACTGTTTGCAGTTTCCAGAAGTTCTCTACGTCATTGTGTGCGCATTTTTCAAAAAAATGTGACCGAAAAAGGAAAGAAAAAACTCCGATCAATCGCATAACGTCTATCACCATAAAAACATGTTTTTTCTAATCCAGAAGCCTATAGTTTCTCCAAAACTTAATTTTCTCTTGACCAGATGTTTTTTCGTGCTCGAAGAACATTCATTAAATGACTTTTCTCTGATGGGGGAGTCGCTTCGTTGAACAAAATTCTTTTTAACAGAGTGGTGTGTTGGTTTAAGGATCCACTCTGCAAAATGTTTTTCTACGGATTTGAACGAAACTTGTAAGAACTAAAGTGCATAATGTGAAGAGGTTACGGTAAAAATGCCTGACTAACATCTAGGAACATTACGGGCTGAAAGCCCAAAATTGTTTACTGTTGTAACCCAAACATCTGCAGTTTTGTCTCAAACAAAGTCGAAATTGAAAAATCTGTTTTTCTTATATTGTACAATTTTGTCCAGGCTTTCACGAAAAAAAAAATCTTGATACGTAAAAATTTAGAACAAATTTGAGTTTCTGACAGCTCATGAAAGGAGAGGGAACGTAGGACATATAGATTATATTTTGAGAGTACAAAATGAGCTCTTTTAGTGGAGTATATTTAAGCAAATTTGAATGCATATTGAAAAATGATATTTAGTGTAACGTCATCTTTTTAGACTTTTTATAGTATAAGGGTAGAATTAATACCGAAAATGCTTTATAATGATGAAATATAGTTAATCAAGATTTTAGTATAAAGCGTCTTGCTGTTAAAAGTATCTTCATTTTTTCTTAGTTGTAGACACATGCTACAATTCGTTTTTATAACCAATATTATTTCCAGAAGAGTTTTTTGAAATACGTTTCCTCTTCCTCCTTCTTCATCTTTGGAAAACTAGGTCATCTGTAGAGATCTTTCGATAGGATTGTGTTGCTTTTTACTCATGCACTGATAGCTCATGGTGTCCTCTCCAAAATGGGAGTAAAGTGAGACCTTGATTTTCGACGGTTCAAGCGTTGTATCGGATTTTCTATCGGAGTTCAAGGACTGGCACCCGGTGACAATTGGTAGCCTTAAAGACTGATGCACTATGGGTAATCGACCATGCTGAGTTTCGTGGAAATATTTATTTTTAGAAAATGTTTTACAAATCTACCGAAAGGCAGTTTTACGAAAATTAGGGTTTTTAGACGGTTTTCACCTAATATTAAAAAATTCACTATTCACTCAAAAAACATTAGAACAAGCTCAAAATCTCAGGATATGATTAATGTTGTCCGCTAAACGTGATTATAGGATCGAAAAAATCTGAAAGCATTTTGTTGTTAATAGGTTTGGTGGCACAGATTTATATTTTCAGTTTGATTACCAATACTTTAATCTTAAAAATCGCTTTTTACAAAAATAAACGTTTTGATTTCCAGAAACCCTTTTGGAAAATCTGAGGGCTCTGTAAAATTTATTTCGAGATCTCCTATGAGTAGGATATAGAATAGCTTAAATACTCTACATTCTGAAGTTTTGAACTCGTTCTGATGTTTTTTGAGTGATCAGGAAAAATCATGGAAACCTATGGTTTGCGAAACGTAGGCGAATCTTTTGTCAGAAAGATTACATACTCATCTCTACATAACTCTTTGCACCACTGGAAAGTGTCTCAAAAACAAAGAATAAAAATGCGTCATTTATTCTGACATTCAGAGTTTGCTCTATCATTACCAACAAAAGATAACGACAATGAACAAAGAAAGCTGACTGTATATCGTGGCCAAGGTATAAATATAGATGAGCTCGAAAAAATAAAGAATAATCCTGTAGGCTTCTATCATTCACTAGCTTTCTATTAACAAGCACCAACCCAAACGTAGCACTCATGTTTGTTTGAAAATCGATCGGATGTTCAATCTGTTCTATTTGAAATAAACGCTGACCATCATCCAGACACAAAACCATTTCATAATATCAAGGAAATAAACCAATTGAATGAAGAAGCAGATGTCCTTTTGACTATCGGAAGTGTATTTCGAACTGAATCAATTTCTAATATAAGCAACCGAGTTTCGAAGGTAATCTTGACATTGACTAGAGATGAAGATGAACAGTTGAAACAATTAAGCGAGTACTTTCGAAAGGAACTAGGCGAATTGTCTAATCTAAACGCTCTTGGTAGACTCATGATACATATGGGAAAATATGAACTCGCTCAACAAAATTTCAGTATTAATTAAAAACAATCAGAATCAGTATCGTAAGCAATGAAGTGAAGAGACTGTCACGCGATGGCACAAATGCAACATAATACAAGAAAGTGAAGCATAGACCTCATATCAAGCATTTTGCATGGATAAGAAACTCATCTGCATCGAGACAAAAGATAAGCGCAAACGTTTTCTAGCCGTGTTTCATGCATCCTACATTTATCTTACTTTTTGATATGTAAATCCTCCCATAAAAAACTTCGAAATCCTACCACTTCCTACTTCTTGTTTTTTATTGCTATTACGAACCCTGACATTTGTAATCGTAATAGACTTTGTCCTTTAGATTTGCATAAAAGAAAAAAATATATATCCAAGTACAAATCCAAAACCATTTTCAAAACTACTTTCACAATATCTACTACGAATCCTTCCTCAATTCTTCAAACTCCACCCACAAGTTCAGCAACATAAGTAAAACCATCGTCATCAAGCTTCATTGGCAGTAATTATCGTTGCTTTTCTTATGTCGGCCGTACCCGTAAACTCCATAGGCAAACGTTGTGGATACAGGTTTGTATCGTGTAGATCAATATTCAGAATTCTGAGATCGTGGAATTACATGAGATCACGCATTGATCTCTGAATCCTATGTATCGTCTGCTCCGAAGCGTGCAAATGAGAAAAGCTACGTCCCTAGACATCGATTCTTATATAAGAAGCTTGCCAGAAACGTCTAAGTCTCTTACCAGTGTCTTAAAAGATTCTTATCGGAATCTTATCAGTTTCTTAGATAACATTGTTTAAGATTTCCCACTGACAGTCTAAGTGTCTAATAAGAATCTTATAAGATTTTCATAAGTGGTTCGTAAGAAATTCATAAGAAGTACCAAAAATTCTTATGAAGTTTTCCAGCCGATAGAAGCAGATTACTCATGACAGAAATCAACAAAACCAACTCATAAGCTGCGTTCTAGTAAATAGAATAAAATAAGAATTTTTGGTATTTCTTTTGAATTGCTTACGATCCTCTTACGAAAGTTTTATAAGATTCTTATAAGACACTTAGACTGTCAATGGGACATCTTAATAACAATCTTATATAAGAAACCGATAAGATTCTAATCGAAATCTTATCAGTTTTATCAAAAAACTTTGTCTAGGGCTATGGCTCACTTTCTTCATTGTTGCTTTCAGTGTTTTCATTCGTTTTTCCGTTTAATCGTTAAGAAGAAACAGTATTACACTGAATACTAGAGTCAGTAGAAGGCACCACCGTTACTATAACGGGCAACAAAAATCCGTTACCTGTTACTAGTAAATAGTAACGCAAAACCGTTACTTTTTAGAATAAAGTAATTGGAATATACCAGCCCTAATCGTCAGTTATTCCATTTCTTTCGGTAAAGAGCTTTTTTCTCTCGCTTTGCTCGAAAGTTTTTCCCGTTCTTTTCTTTTAATCAAGAATCGTATACTGTATTACATAACATATATCGCACGAATAACGATAGTTTTCTTTCTTTTTTGACGCAATTATATTCTATCGGCGCATCAGTAACGGCCGTTCGCTAATGTAATTTCCTAAAGTAAGACGAGTGTTACATAGTATAAAAGTTCATTCTTTAATACTGTCAATACGCGTTGGTTGAATAACATGCTTATCTTTCTTTTCTTTCTTATCTAGAGACAGTTACTGTTGACTTTTCTCCATCCTTTATAAATTTCCATCTATTGCTTTTCTTTTGATAAGATGACAGGATATATCGAAGAGAAAAAAGTTAAACATAAAAACATCGTTTCCAGTTTAAAAGTCGAACACATTATTATTTTTCACGTGACCATTTGATGTTTCTTTTCTAAAATACATATTTGTGTTTTGCCACTCATAAATATATATATATATACACATAGAAGGGAGGTGTGTATAGATTTTTTCATAAAATATGCGTCATATTTTTCAGCTGTGTTTCATCAGGTGAGTTAGACAACTAAATATTAAGTTCAGAGTTAATTTCTGTCTTTGTCAATTAGCTTTATTTTCCCATTATTTATCAATTCAAAAACAGCTGCTGAATGGCGTACACGAACCATATATCAACTGTTAACTGATCGATTTGCTCATACGCCTGATGATATTGAGACAAATAAAAAATGTTTGCATTCTCCTCTATCCTATTACGATATTCGACATTATTGTGGTGGCACATACAAAGGTATCATTTCTCATTTGAATTACATAAAACAGATGGGATTTGATGCTATTTGGATATCTCCCATAACAGCACAAATTGAAAATGATACGCATTGGGGTGTAGGATGGCACGGTTATTGGCAAGATAATATTTATGGTTTAAATGAACATTTTGGTACAGAAAATGATCTTCGAACATTGATAAAAGCAGCTCATACACTTGATATTTGGGTAATGTTAGATGTTGTTGCTAATCATATGGGACCAAATGTAAATGGAACAGCTCGCTATGTTCCGTTTGATCTAGATATTTATTATCATCAACCACCATGTCTGATTACTGATTATACAAATCAGAGTCAAGTAGAATTTTGCACAGTCGGTGATATTAACGTACCATTGCCCGATCTTAATACTGAACACGAATTTGTTGTTTCAACACTTAATCAATGGATTCGAAATATTATTAATGAGTATGAATTTGATGGTATAAGAATTGATACATTTCGTCATGTTCGAAAACCATTTTGGACAGATTATGTATCTGCATCGGGTGTCTATTCAGTTGGTGAAGTGGCCACATCTGACACGGCTTATGTTGGTGATTATCAACGATATGCCGATGGTGTTTTACATTATCCACTATATTTTGTTCTAAATGAAGTATTTCGAGATGAAAATAGAAAATCGATTCGAGAAATTGATAAACAAGTTCAATTAAATGAAGAATATTTTATAGATACAACATTGTGTGGATTATTTTTAGATAATCACGATCAAGCACGTTTTATGAATCATACAAAAAATATGATACTTATTCAAAATGCCTTAACCTATTTGATGTTCAGCGATGGAATACCCATTTTTTACTATGGTACCGAGCAAGAATATCACGGTGACTCGGATCCATAGAATCGTGAACCAATGTGGCATAGTAATTATTCACAATCGACTCCTATCTATCACTTCGTTAAACAATTACTTTCGCTACGTGCAATATTAAAATTAAATTATCCACAATACTTTTTGACACATCAACGTACTGTTTATATTGATGACTCAACCTACGTCTATTACAAATATCCTGTTCTCATTATCCTATCAAATGATGATTTTAATCAACCAAAAACATTAAACATACCAATTAATATAACAAATTATATTGAGTTTTTTACAAAAACAAAAGTAAGACGTGATCAGTTAGTTGTTAACAGTTGGACACCGATGATTTTGGTACCACAGGACAATCTAATTAGCTCGACATAACATCACAATTCAAAATGTATTTTCTCATATTATTTCTATTTGTTGTATTTCTTCACTATTTGTGAGTGAAACACTGTATCGTCTATTAAAAATAATTTCTTAACCAAAATTTGGATGGAGTGCGAAAAACATTTCCTACAAACGTTAGAATCAAAATAGGGAAAGAGTATGCTTAGATTCGTAGCGAGTTAAATTTATGAAATAATTTCCAAAAATCAGTATTATCAACTGTTATACTTTTAATACCAGGATGCGTAATTTGAGTGGTATGGGGATCTTGAGACATTTCTTAGACGATCTGAAACTGAAACTTGATATATTACGGAAGAATGACACCTGCTAGTGTAAAGATAAAAATAACGGAATGACTATTACATCATAAAAAAATAAAGTGTGTAAAGCTTCTAAGCGTTCACTCAATGTCGAAAAGTGTGTGCTTTTCTCTAAATGGTCAATCTCAGTGTGTAAAGAGTTAAATGTGTTAAAAAGGTTTCTTATTTCCTATTTTTCTCCAGAATTACTGCATCAATTGAAAAAAATAATTTCAGAATCATGATCACCATCTTCGAAAGTATATATGCTGTCATTTCAAGCAAAACGGATAAGAAAAATAAGTTTAAAAAAATCATGGCCATATGATAGATTTGAACAATTGATTGATGAATTTGAAGCATTTACAGTATAGATAGTTTAGACAAGTAGACTATATCATTGGTCTCAATGTGTAGAGCCAGATGGTCACTTATCAGTATGTACTTTACACACCTACGTCTTACATCCTAGACGGTCACTGGGAATAGACTTCGTGTTCACTTTATATATGTCATTTAAACACTATTTTTTACAGTGTAAGTTATTCACATCCTCGAGCAATTTTCACTGCCAAAAGGACTTTTAAAACAGGAAGCAAATGTCTTTATTTTGATTCTGAAAAAATGACGGTAATATTTCCCAGACACTACAATCAAAACTTTTCTCTATTAAGTCGGCCATAAGTTCACCATTAGCTTTGATTCAATTTTACAAGCTTTCGTTTGGAAAACGTTCAAAATATTTATTTCTCAAAATATTGACTGCAGAACGGATTTAACGGAATAATTTGAACTGTGTTGTAGAGATGTTCAGCCTACAGGTCCGATACGAACAATGCTGGTCTGAACATCAATCAGTACACATGCCTATCGTCAAAATGATCGAGTATGTATGTTCCGTACCATTTCATACCATCTTTAAACTATCAGGTGCTCTGAGACTTAAAGTAAATTCGGTGCCACGCCTAAGCCATTGATATAGAAGATCTGACTTGACTCTGATTTTTCACAGGGCATTTTGATGTTTTACATGCGAAAAATCACTATGTCGTCACTCCCGGTTTGGTGAAGTATATTGGTTATCTGAAGAACCTTTCAAACTCCTGCTTTCACAAAAGAATTTGAGATTAATTCCGCTCACAAAAAACATGTCCTAGGCGCTGATCGAGTCATTTTATGAAGAGTTGATTTAGATACTATATAAAAGAAAATCTTTTCCTATTTCATTCTATCTTAGAACTTGTAGACGAAAGCTTATAATTCTTCTATCTATAAGTGAAAATTTTTGGTCTGTACCGCTTTTGATTCGAAAGTTATGGTAAAGGTAGTTACACACATTTCAAGGAGAAAAAATGAATAAAATTAATGAAACGACCGAGTTTTAGGAAAAATTTTTGAAAAAAATATTCGTAGGCTTTTTACAAAAAACAATATTTCGAGAACAAAGTTTCCTATGGTTAAAAAATTTGGATTTATATGTTGTCTTGTGGATCCAAAAAGTTGACATTAAGAATTTACTATGGTTTTACAAACAGAACAGGTTTTATTCTTTTGTAACCTCCACTTCGCACGTGTATAAAAATGAATCGATTTTCTTTAAAAAATACAAAAACAAAAACATTCTTTTACGTTTGCTCTTTGAAACAAAAGGTCGTTCGCTAATATAATTTCCTAAAGTAAAGAGACAGAGCGAATGCAGACGAGTGTTACCTGGTATAAAAGTCTATTCTTTAATTACTGCCAATACGCGTCGGTTGAATAGGGGGCATGCTTACCTTTTCTTTTCTTTAATCCGTCTAGAGACAGTTACTGTTGACTTTTCTCCATCCTTTATAAATTTCCATCTATTGCTTTTCTTTTGATAAGATGACAGGATATATAGAACAGAAAAAAAGTTAACCGTACAAACATCGTTTCTAGAGGTATCATCCATGTGTTATGTCTTGTTGACTACCCTCCCTCCAATAATCAAAGCTCATGTCTTACCATGCTTGTATTCCTTTGCAGATTCTGCCTCTGATAGTGGACTATGACATGGATATTTAGCAAACAAGTATATAACTCGTATCAGACATGGAAAGACAGTGAAAGTAAAAGTAACTTGAAAAACTCAAATTTACAGTAATGCTGTATGAAAGTGCAACTTCCGAATGAGTGATATTCTGATTGCAGGACCCTAAATCAGTGTAATGATGAAGTGGTTTTGCTGGAGAAAAATCTTTGAAAAAAAACGTTTATATTCGAAGTATTGATCTTTTGTTTTTAAGTAGAATCTTATTATGATAACCACAATGTGAACAAGTTGCACAATCAGTGAGGCAGTTGAATTCTTCAAGTAGTATTAAACAAATTTATGTTGATAAAGTTTCAACTGGTGTATCGTTGGTTATTGAAACATTTATATTTGTGCACATTATTAACGTATTTAGTATTCGGAATGTATGAGAAAAATACAAAAAGAAATGACTGCCAGATATTCCATGAACAGATATTAGGGGATCTTTGGAGGGTCTCGAGAAAACGTTTTGGATTTACATTAGATTACGAACTTACACATCAAATCAGAGACAAATTCAGAACATATTTTGGATAGTTCTCTGGTGAACACCGACCGAATGAAGGATTCGCTATCTTGGATTCAAAAGTCACGGAAGATCGTTCGCAGATATAAGTTCCTAAATTTAAGGGACAGAACGATTGCAGACGAGCGTTACCTTGTTATTTATGCATACAGAATCCAAAAGAAAACGGTGATAGAAAGAATAACATATTCGTTTGTCTGTCACATGGAAGAACAGAATTTTAACAGAAGTCCTCTATACTGTAATAAATATGAATAAGGGTAAAGTTGTCATGTTTGCATTCTTGTCAAATTTCTGATTCATTTCGTTGCCAAAATAACCACAAATCTTCCTTGTTAGCGGTAGGTATGGCTATGGAGAATCTAACAGCGTTGTAAGAAAATCTCCAAGCGTTTTCAAACGAGACTCTTCAAAACGTCAAAAAATTCTATTAGTCTTTTACGTCCTGATAGTGTAAGATGCAGATTAGTTATGTTTTATTCTGTTATATCATAGCTCAACCGACCGGATAGGATTTTTCTTAATTAAAAGATATATCGAATTGTAGAACAAGTCGAGATTCATAATCTACCATAATAACTACTGAAATGGTTTTTCTCAAGGCTGACTTGTGATAAACTTATTTTCGCCCTTTGCTTCCTGAATATTTTGTTTAAAATTTTAGTTTTTAGCAAACCACACACCCACTGGTCTTGTTTTTTTATCATATATTATACTTTCCATCTTTGATCTATGATAAGAATTCCACTAAAATCAGATAAGATCAGAGCAAATCTAGCGAAAAGAATTTTGACAGTTTTTATAAGTATCAGATAAGATTCTTATATACGCTGTTGCATGAAGTGGCCATTCAGATTGCCAAATCTTCAGACCGCTTTTTGAGCGCATGGACATCTTGAGGAGATTAAGTGGAGAGCGGTTTTAAATTTAGAACGCTTTGCTTTCGATTTATTAGGTATTCGTTTACCAATCTCATGATGTAGATCTCCTAATCGTATCATTATTACATCTTACCTGGATATTACGAACTGAAGACGGTTTAAGGCGCAAAAAATTCACAATAAATGGAATTTATTTATCCGATATTTATCCCTGGTTGAATACAGCTCGTCGAGTTGAAATCGAATGTGTGTGTTTCACAGTTTCGAATTAAATCTTTAAGGTCGAAAATTCGAAAAAACTCAACTTTTTTAAACGGAAAAAATCCACATGACAGGTCATACCCCTTAAATTCATAATGTTCAAGATTCTTAAATGAACTTAAGGGGATGACCTGTCATGTGGATCTTTCCGTTTATTAAAGTTGAGTTTTTTCGAATTTTCGACCTTACACACATATTCGATTTCAACTCGACGAACTGTATTCAACCAAAGATAAGTATCGGATAAATAAATTTTACTTATTTTGAATTTCTTGCGCCTTAAATCGTCTTCAGTTCGTAATATCCAAGTAAGCTGTAATCACAAAGGGGCAGCAGAATTCATAGAACTCTACATTGATAAAATTTCCAAGATTAGCAGAAAGAATTCAAAAATTAGCATCAAGGTTTTTATCAATTTCTGAAACGTAAGAAATTCAGAATTAGCCATTCGACGAATGCACAATTAGCAGAAAGAATTTAGAAATAAACATCAGGCTTTCTCTTCGAACTCAAGAATAAAACAATTGTTTACAACAAGAATACAACAAAAATTCAAAATGTGACCTTCTTGGACATTCTTGGAATTCAACAATTGAGAGACGCATCTCACT